TCTCATCTGCCAAGCTCTTCCCCCTCTCCCCCTCCTAGATGTCACAATTCATTTTAATGTTCATTTTTTTAATTCCAGCTCAAATACAGCAGTGTTGCGCGTTCCTGTCCCCAGACATTATATTATATATTTGTACTCCTTTGAAGTATTTTGTCCTTTACTACTTGCAGAACAAGAAAGCCTTGAAAAAGTTTGCTTACAGTGTCCAACTTGCAGGGATCTAAATGGGATCTATTAAGTGTTATACATCCAGATTCTTCACTTTTAAATCAAGCTACTTAAACCCACCAAGAAGTATAAAAATATAAACAAAGCAGTTCCCAAAATTCAAACTTTCCAGTTAGACAGGCCTCTTCACAGACCCTTCCCACTGCTTAAACACTGCAGCATCCTAAGGGGAGCCTGTAAGGGCCCCCAAAAGGCTTTGGGACGCTCTGAGGCAGCAGATGAGGCTTTGGCTCTGGCAGTGCTTTCTCAGCATCCTCCACCTTCCTGCCCACCGGCAGGGCTCTGGGCTTCACCATGGAGTACCCCTTCATTCACTTCAGACACAGCCAACCAGATCAGCTTGGAGAAACTTTTATCCTCGCATTAAGATCAGTGAGGCCACTTGTCCAGTGCAGTTTTGGGTATGCACACGTGGCCACACCAGCTGGCCGAGTCACGGAGGGCTTCTGCTGGAGGGAGCCCCATTGCTGGAGGTGATGCTATGACTGGTTAACAGTCACACATCTGCCCGACTGCGGCATCCATCACCTGCACAGGAATGACCCATCTACACTCTCCTAACCCCCAAAAGTGCCCTGTTTAGGACTGACCAGGCTGTGTCCTTCACCAAAGAGCGAGAAACAAATGTCGAGCCGCATCTCAGAAGCCTGTGCGGCAGAACCTTGGCTTGAAATCAGCAAGTTTCTGGCCTGAATCTGAACCAGGCTCATTAAATCTTCAGCTATTTCTGTCTAGCCTGGAGCATCTCACAGATGAAGGATATTCAGAGCCCAGACAGTCTTCAACAGTGAACATTTTGAATCCTTAAAACTGTAATCAGTCCACTGGGTTGTTGTTGCAACTTTTGCTGGGTTTAAAGTGAACTGTTGCAAAGACAGGTATTCAGAGCCAAAAATTCCTTCAGAGTTAAAAGCAAACAGGATCTGTTAAATTCCGTTGACCTTTTACTGGCAACCAAACAGACCTACAAATACATTTCTTCAACACAGGAAAATTTGGATTCTGATGCAATCATGTTACCGCAGAAGCCTGGCCTACGGCCACAGCACTATAACCGGCAGAAGTAACTCAGTGCTGTGCTGGTCCCACACAACCCCTCTCCCTCTGTCAGAAGCAGCTACAACTACTTAGGTTTAACCACAATCAATTTCCCAAGCTGGTGCACCGCACAATCGGAGACAGCGGTGGGAGCACAAAGGAAGATGTGGCATGGCATGGAGGCAGGTGTCCCTGGCTGGGATTACTTCCTTCAGTCCCAATGCCAGCTTTTGCTAGCTTAGAACAACCCTGAGGCTATGAGCAAGTAAGCGTGAAGATACTTCTGGTCACACAATCACAGGATAGTTGAAGTCGGAAGGGATCTCTGGAGGTCATCTGATCCAACCCCTTGCTCAAGCAGGGCTACGTAGAGTCGACTGCCCAAGGACCACATCCAGACAGCTTTTGAATATCTCCAAGGATGGAGACTCCACAATCTCCCTGGGCAACCTGTGCCAGTACTCAGTCACCCTCACAGTGAAAAAGTGTTTCCTGATGTTCTGAGGGAACCTCCTGTCTTTCACCTCGTGCCCATTGCCTCTGGTCCTGTCACCAGGCACCACTGGAAAGAGCCTGGCTCCCTGCTCTTTGCAGCGTCCCTTCAGGTATTTTACATATATTGCTGAGATCCCCCTTGAGCCTTCTCTTCTCCAGGCTGAACAGCCTCAGTTCTCTCAGCCTCTCCTCATAGGAAAGACACTCCAGACCCTTCATCATCTTTGTGGCCTTTTGCTGGACTCTCTCCAGTAGCTTCGCACTAGTACTTTGGTAGTCTGAATCAGCTGGCAGATACTGGTACCATGCTTCCTCGTCTGTCCTGGAAACCTGGAAAGAAGGCAGCATGTCCCTTCCTCAAACAGGGGCTCTTCTGGTCTATCAGTGCATAAAGGAGAGCGTGGCTCAGAGTGCTGTATCTTGTGTTTAACTGATCTCTTAGGGAGCAGCTGTAACTACCAGGCATCACCTAAACGTAACACACACCTCAATCTGAGACTAAAAAAATTCTGTGTCTTCTCTGGGTTGGAAGACATTTATTCAAAGAAACTCGAAGTATTCACCATAATTTATTTTTACAGCAGGTACCAAACCAAGACAGTTGAAACACTAAGTCTCCAAAGCTCTAGATATTATGTAAATAAACTCTAAATAATTGCCTGCATTAAAGTGTGGTTCAGTGTTCAGCAAGGAAAACAGCTCCTGTTTTTTTTTAATTAAATTCTGATTTTATCTATAATTCTAGACTGTTCTGTTTGTTTATACATGAAACATTATCCTGCTTGTTGAGTGCCAAAGCGTTATTCTGAAACTGTATGATTAACACCAGTGCTTCCGAACACTATGAATCAAATAGATTTGTGTGACTAACAGCCCAAGTCCTTCAATGGGCAGTGTATGCAAACCGAGGTAACCTGGCACATCCTTGTCGTACCTACAGTGATTTACAAACACCCCGCCAAATAACGAAGGTAATGGATGCAAGGATACCAGCTGACACAGCCAAGAGCCACACACTCGCAATGATCCCCAAAAGTTTTTATGCACCGAGGGGTCAGGCAGCACTTCAAAATGCATGGCTCCAACTCACGCTCGGCGATGAGGAGCTGTGGCAATTGAAGATGTTGTCATCCTGTTATGGAATGTGTCTCTACCAGCAGCAGGGTGGGTGGGAAGAAACTGGTACCTCTGCCTCTGCTGCTTCAGGCCACAGCTTGGTTTCTTGGTATAATCCCATCTTTACCGCCAATTTAACCCAACAGACTCAACAAGAAAATGCAAGACAGGAGACCGAGGAGAATGCTACCTTCTGCCGGCTGGGAAGAGAGGGATGATGGGCAGCGAGATGGAGTAGCAACACTTCAACCACCAGATCCGGGCTGGAGCGAGCTGGCCCCTTGGAGCAGATGCCCTCCCACACTAGGACAAAACACGCTTGCTTGCTTTGACTACATTTTTTACAGGGTTTTGGACTTCTCTACACTGAGCAATGATGCTGGTTGCCAGTAAGTTATTCACAACGATCCCTCAGGATTTCTCTTCACGGTATTATTAGCTTAGGCTGTAACTCCAGTTTTGATTTACGGGCGATAACCATCCCTGAACAAAAGTCTCCAGCTTGAATAACCGGCACCTCTGCTGCGAGTGCCCTATGCTGCCAGGGAAAGCGATGCTATCCTCGGGCAGCAAGGACAGGCGCATCGCCGCTTGGGCCAGGATGATGCAGGGGCTGCCCCTCTTGCACTACAAACCCACCACCCTGCCAGCCCAGGGGTGACCGAGCCCTGCTGCCCACCTCCAGCCTCCCAGCCCCAAGTCTTTACAACAGTTAAAAACTGTATTTAATAAAAACTTCTACTGACTTGCTTATTTTTTGTAAAAGCTGATTATTACAAATTTGCCGCAGACACTAGCCTGCCGGTTTAAGGAAAAAAAAAAATTATCCCATTGGCAGGCAACCAATATACAAGAACAACTACAAAGAAGCTGTTACAGTTTATCGTGCAGTAATCCATGGATTAAGGTCATTAATAGCACTCGATGACATACTGCCATGACTCCCAAGGTGCTGTTCTGGCTTGCAGGATATACAGTACGTAACCCCCTCACAAACATTTCCACTGAGTTACGTTCTTCTAAATCTTTCAAAGAAGAGAAGAAACGAGAAAACCGAGAAGAAAGATGCCTAGCACAATGTCTTGCATTGCACCAAAAAAAAATTACAAGGAAAATAAATTAAGATTTTCAAATAACACTGAATTTTCTTCTTATTCACGCCAATGTTTTCACAGTATGAGAGTTCTCGGTGAGTAACTGAAATTTTGATCTACAGAGCTGAATTTAAAAAGCAAGCCAAGACATCCTCCCATGCCCAAAAGACAAAGCCACAACTAAAACTTTCAAAATAAAATATGAAATGCTCAATTTTGCCCTTTAATTTTTTATATGAAATAAGCTTTTTCCTTCTGTCGACATGAGAACACAAATGTATCATCACGGAAAACACTGTGTACTCCCTAAATCCCACGGGGTCATTAATCTTCTTTTATGCAGTACACGAAGTATTTTCACAGAACTTTTAAAATAGTTTTCTAAAGCATGCTTGATGTCATTAAGAAGGCAGGAGAAGTTGATAGCCTAACAAAATAACTGCTAAATATCTTCCAAAGGACAGAATCTCTTCACTCTGTTCTAAACTTATGCTATCTGCTATCCATACATGTAATTATCAATACTATTAATTTATCTGAGAGTCCTCAATATGAGAGGTATACAACCCGTTGTGTCAAAACTGAAGTAATGGGCAGACTTTTCTTACTTCTGTGGATTTAAATGAAAGAATCTGCATCCTTTCCATATGATTTGTTTCATTAGGACTCTGGTAATGTCCCAGTACTATGTCACTATGTATTTTCATTTGCTGTGAAACAATGATAATTCATAAAACGTATGGAGAGGAGAACACAATTGTCGCACCAGCTGTAAGCAATCCTGTACCCCACAGTCATGCAATTTTTGTAAACAACATATTGACACTGGAAAATAAAATCCTTTGAAAGAAATATTTTCAAAGCTTCAATAAATACAAGTTATGACAAATAATATTTGTATTAATATACATCTTACCAAGAACAAATCACTCTGATTAATCTAGTTTAGTTGTAACTCATAATTTCACATTTTACTTCCAGTACAACACATGACCATTTGCACTACACATGCAGGGTTTTTTTTCTTACCTTTAAGGAATCAAAGCAGGCAATCACTCTTCCATTTTCAACCTGGCAACTTTTAGGGGGGTGTGCAAATTTGCATTCTTCATCAGAGCGCGAACAAGTTCCTCTCTGAAATTGCCTGCACACTTCTAATGTTAGCCACTTTGTATCTCTTACAGGAGCAACATTCAAAGCCATGATGGAAAGCTGATTTTGAATTTGTAAATTGCTGTCAAGTTAATTATGCTGAAGAAATTTCCAAAGGTAATGAAGAAGGGAAGGGAGAGAAAAAGGGAAAAAAAACACAGAAAAAAATAATTTCAATTGAAAAGAAAGTTAAAAAAAAAGTGAGGGACAGTTAACGATGTCCAATGCACACAAAGCAGAATAAACAGAGAAAGTTTTATCAGCAAGCAGTCACTCATCAATCATTAAGTCCCGCTGGCAGACTTTTGGCTGGGGAAAACCATGCTCAGTTGCATTTCTGTCTGTAAAACACGTGGGCTTGTTGATTGTATCACGGATGCACCAGTTTTAAGCCAAGGTCCTTCAATGCAATGGCACTCCTTGATAGAATGTTAATTCTCTGACAGTTGCTTGCTGGCCTTGATTACACAAGAAAAGCAATGCAGTCATTTGTTCATGTCCCAAGAATAACAATAGTTGTTGCTGTTCTTTTTCTGCTTTCAGTTTCCCATCAACTAATTGGCAAATCGAGATAGCTGAGGTATCTTCTGCCAGGTGCAAGGTGAAGGCAATGTCTGGCTGGCAAAGACAGGATTTTGAGAACACGGGCGCAGCAGTCCTCGCTCATAAAAGTGACTTGACAAAGGCACTTTTTAAGTCACTGACCTGACAAAACAAATACAGTATCAGTTCACGTGCAACTCATTCAAATCAACACTATGAAATCAACACTACAAAACCTATCATCCCTTTTGATCAGATATTATTAAATATACTGCCAATGCTTACTTGCATTTCTTTTTACCAAAGCAAATCAGCCTCTTCTTGAAGTTACGCATGACAAGGGAATAACCAGTTGAAACACGTATTGCAGTAATATTCTAGGCAGCAATCCAAAAGTTAGGAATGATTTAAATAGATGAATGTGGCAGACACAATAATTAGGCATGCCGGCTGTGAAACAATTCAATCTAATGTGCTTCGTCTCCAAAACAATATACAAGAACCCGTTTCCATTAATTTATCATTTGGCCCTTTAGATAGCATTACTACATTATAAGCTGTTGTTATTTGTTCTTCCTTAGAAATGAAGACGGTAGTATTCTGTTCAGAATTTTTGTCTCTTCCTGTTTCTCAAGGGAAAAAAAGCAAAACAAAAATAATTGTCATTTCAAAATTACAGGGGAAAAAAAAAAATCTTCCATATCCAGAAACAGAGTTAGTTTCCCTGTTAAGCTAAGGGTTGTTTCATAAAGACTTCATGAAAGGGGTCACTACTAAGTCATCATCCTCTAATGAGTTATTTCTAATATGAAGAAGTCTTTATCTAAAT